TTAAGGACTTTAAGTCCTAGGGTCCTCCACCAAATTTTGAGTGTTAAGTACTTTTAAGTACTAGGGTCCTCCACCAAGTTTGAGTGTTAAGTACTTTTAAGTACTAGGGTCCTCCACCAATTTATAATCCGAGTGTTAAGGACTTTAAGTCCTAGGGTCCTCCACCAAATTTTGAGTGTTAAGTACTTTTAAGTACTAGGGTCCTCCACCAAAATATTTGCCTATGATCAACCTTCTATCAACCTAGATAGAGTCTATATCATACTTAGTTACTCATAACTAATTCAATACATAAAGCTTATGTATCACAATCCATGCAAAGCCATGCAATTATATAAATACATAATTAACTAATATCAACCGATATTAATTAATCCTTTATCCATCGGTCAACGTTGTCGTTGACCGCCATTTCAAGTCTTACACTTATCAACTTAATCATCATGTAATTAAGTTAATAATATTCATTTGTGCATCTTATACATTTCAAACAAATATGTATTTTATATAATTCTTCATATCATATTCCATGCACAAACAATATATTTCTTTCATACAATCTTAACCCTATTGGCTAATCACATGTTTAAATATCTTTTAAACATCATTATGAACTCATATAACATTTATTTAGGTAATCTCATAATTAACCCAAAAGTTATAAGATATTAAGCCGTCCACTCACCTTGAACTAGCGTTATGAAGTTCTACCCTTCTTGGTTGAACTCCGGTGAAACTCCGGCGACTTTTGGTCAACTCCGGCGACAATTCCGGCGACTTTTCCAACTTTGTGAACTCACTTGAAATACCCTTTACAAGTGCCTAACAAGGTTTTAACATCATAAAACCTTAATCAATACAAATAACCTATAAAAGGTTATTTTCCGGTGAACCGGTCGTTTTGGCTTCTAAGTCCGTTCTCGGACATAGAATCACTTTCCAACCCATTAATCCATACTTATAACATGTAGAACCCTCTTAAGGATTCTTCACATGATATATATCTCATATGGTAGAAGAAAAATAGAGAGAGAGTTATAATAAGGTCATTACCTTAATTATTTCACACTTTTAGCACTTTAGCTCCTTTTTGGGTGATTCTTCCTTGATGATTTCTCTTCAACAATGGAGGGAGGAAGAATGGAGAGTTTTCCTTCTCTTTTTCTGTAGCTTGGCCGAACAAATGGGGGAGAGAGGAAGGGGATGGACCTTTGTCTCATTAAACCAATGAGTGTAAAAAAAATGGGGGTCCACCTAGGTACTTTTGATGCCATTCCCTTCATGTCAAACCCTTCTCCCATGCTCCCTCCTTCTACCAGCCGACCAACCCTCAAGTTTGAGTGGAAAAATCGTGGGTTGGCCCCCACTCATGTGGGAGGTCAACCCCTTTTGTCCCGAAGTGTACAATCGGCCCCGAAAGTTGTATTTTTCGGACTGTTTTAATCATATTTTATTTTATCGGGTCAAATAAAATATATTATGTGCTCTTACTCATTATGACATGTATGATGAATATACATTCTCAAACTTTAATTTATAAACCTCCGAAATTCATTTTCGGGCTGTTATCTGTTAACTTGTCGGTACCGGTAATTGGGCCTCTTTTTCCCAATCGGTCAACTCTGCGCCTTTCCACGACCCAAATAAAATATCCCCCACTATATAAATATTATCTTGACTAAGATGAATAAAATATGTGGTCTCGGGAGTGTCGGGCGGCCCCCGCTCCCGGTGTGGGTCCCACGTGCAATTTACTATTCACGTGAAAGAAATAATAAAAATTTACAACTTCGTAAATTCATTAATTCTTTAGTAAGGTTCAATACATTATTTACATAAAAGTAAATATATTTGGGGACGGTGTTACAGCAAGATCAGCAACTGACGAGGAGCCTTCGGCACCCCTCGATGAATGGTGGACACTCTATACCGATGGCTCCTCGGCCACCAAAGCATGCGGAGGGGGAGTAGTCCTGATCACACCCGAAGGCTTCCGCGCCTATTATGCCATCCGCTTCTCCTTCAAAGTCTCCAACAACGAGGCCGAGTACGAAGCCCTCCTCTGTGGCCTTCGGCTGGCAGCTAATCTGAAGGCTAAGATGATCCACGTCAAGTGTGACTCCAGACTAGTTGTGGGCCAAATTTCCGGGGAGTACGAAGCCAAGGAAGGGAGGATGAAACAATACAAGGAAGCGGCTAAGGAGTTGCTCAAGGTGTTTGAGGCACATTCTCTCACCCAAATACCGAGGGCTCAAAACTCCGAGGCCGACATTCTATCCAAGCTCTCGGATGAATCCCCCGAGCACCTCTCGAAGATTGCAAGAATTGAGGAGCTCGGCCTCTCAAGTATCCACGCAAGCCCCGTCATGAGCATTAACCTAAGGCCGGAGGATTGGATCTCCGACATCGTCGCCTTCATCACCACAGGGCAACTACCCCAGGACGAGGCCCGCGCCAAGTTAGCTAAGCTGAGGGCTCCCAGTTACACCCTCGAAAAAGGGAGGCTTTACAAAAGATCTTACAACGGCACCCTCCTTCGATGCCTTCATCAAGATGAAGCCGAAGTCGCTATGGAGGAAGTGCACAGTGGCACTTGCTCGGCCCACCAGGGACCCTTCTCCATGTCCCGAAGGCTCATAGTTCAAGGCTACTTCTGGCCCACGATGGCTAGAGATTGTGCTGATCTAGCCCGAAGGTGCACCGCTTGCCAACACTTTCAGAAGGCCCCCGGCAGGCCCGCGGTCAACTATGCTCCCATCAGCACCGCTATACCCTTTTCCAGATGGGGTATTGACTTAGTAGGCCCTCTGCCGAGGGGTACCTCCAACAACAGGTATATCATTGTGGCCATTGACTACTTCACCAAGTGGGTAGAGGCCGAGCCCCTCGCCAGCATCACTGAGGCCCGGTGCCGCCACTTTGTTCTCAAAAATATTCTCACAAGGTTTGGCGTCCCCCAACAAATCATCTCCGACAACGGGACTCAATTCGAAGCAGCCCCCTTCTGTGCCCTACTTGAGGCTTGGGACATCAAGCACACATTCTCTTCCGTTGCCTACCCTCAGGGCAACGGGCAAGTGGAGAACGCCAACCGAACCCTACTTGAAGGATTGAAGAAAAAGCTGGAAGCCGAAGGGAGAGGCTGGGTAGAAGAGCTTCATAACATCTTATGGGCCTACCGCACCACCCCTCGGCGCGCAACAGGCGAGACACCCTTCTCCCTATGCTATGGCTTCGAGGCTAAGGCTCCAACAGAAGTGACTCTTCCCACCCGAAGGGTTGAGCAATATGAGCCCGAGGTAAACGACGCCAACATGGCCCTCGACCTTCATCTCATCTCAGAACGCAGAGAGCAAGCTTTCCTCAAAGCCGAAAACTATAGGAGACAAGTCAAAGGATACATCGACGCCAAGGTCCGCTCCCGGGAATTCCAGGTGGGAGACTACGTCCTCCGACGAAGGGAGGCCAGCCTACCCACCGAAGGAGGAAAAATGGCTCCCAAGTTTGAAGGCCCCTACATCATCTCAGCCATCATCAAGCCAGAGACATACAAGCTTAAACGCCCCAATGGGACGGAGGTCCCTAGACATTGGAATGTGCACCACCTTGTCAAATTCTATCAATAAGGCATGAGCGGCCAAGCCCTCATCCTCAGCAAGTATAAATATTAATGGCCCAAGGCCCCATCTGTTTTTGAAGAATAATCAAAAGGCCAAGCCTTCATCACCTACATATTATACAAGCGGCCCAAGGCCCCCTTCTCCCATACAAATGAGTGGCCAAGCCCTCGTCTCTTCACCAAAATAGGCCCAAGGCCTCTTCCTCTCAGGAGGGGGAACAACAATTTAGGTACCAAGTACCAAGTGTATGGGTCACCCCCATCACTCTTTGAAAACACCAAGTGTTTTCTCACTAAGCCGTACCCCACAAGGACGCAACCATGCATACGTTATGCATACTTTTACATACTCTAATAAAAAAAAAAAAAAAAAAAAAAAAAAACGGGGGGTGCAATACCCCTCGGCTCCGGCTGGTACCAAGTGCCCCCGGCTATTTGTGTCCCACACACGAATAAAACCCTTCCCAGGAACGCTTTCCGCGCCATCCCCCAAGGGGAGGCAGGCAACGGACCATGTCCCGGGCCCAGGATTCGACTTCCACAAACGAAACGCTCCCCGCGCTATCCCCCAAGGGGAAGCAGGCAACAGACCATGTCTCGGGCTGAGGGGACGACTTTCAAAACCGAGGCGCTTTCCGTGCTATCTCCCAAGGGGAAGCAGGCAACAGACGATGTCTCGGGCCGAGGAAACGACCCTCAAACCCTTCGGGATATCGGAAGGTCATTCCCGAAGGGGGAGCCAACGGTTCACTTCGTTGCCTCCCATATAGGCCAAGCCTTTCCTAGAGACCAAGTTTCTAGATGCCTCTCCTAAACCATCTAAAAAAAAAAAAAAAAAAAGATGTGTAGGGGGGAAGGAACTCCCCGGATACTATTCTCCCCGGAGGCTCAACACTTCGGATATACATTCCCGAAGGCTCCCACAAATTCACAAGAAAATCTCGCAAACAACAAGTCATCTGGCCACAAGGCCGAAGGCTTCACTGCGAAAAACTTTGGAGTACAAGAATTCCACCGAAGGCATAAGAAGAGGGCTTACTATCAAAGCTTCACCTAAATTTGGCTAAGTCCTAAATCTGGCTCGAATCGAAGACACCATGTTACATACCGAAGGCTACACAAAGTTCTAAGGCTTGCTAAATCTATTATCTACACGAACCGGAGGGTTCTGATCAAGTTTACTTGGAAAATTTGATGATTCCACAACAACGAGCCCCCGGCAACCCCAATATACAACCGAGGGCTTGTTGTCAAGTCACTACTTAGAAAATTCTCTAAGTCCATCAATCCCTGGCCCTCGAACTGGCAGACAGAAAGAAAGAAAGGAACATACATTCATGCACAGACATAAAGAAGACGAAGGAATTCATTCAACAAATAGCCCGGAGGCAAAGCATTTATTCAGAATTTAAGAGATTGCTTCATTACATGGCTAAAGCCGAAGGATACAAGCTATTAAAAATAATACATCAAAAAGATCCTAAGTCTAAGCTCCTTGGACTCCGTCGGTCTTGGGCTCAGAGGTGGCATCATCACCAGTTTCATCCTCATCTGCGAGGCCGCATTCCCTCATCAACTCAGAATCCGAGAGCTGGCGCCTCTCTTCGCCCTCCGGGAGGGGGATCCGGACATCAGGCTGACGAGGAGGGAGGCCGTAGGCCGAGGGATCGAAGTGGCTAGGGTCAACGCCAAAGTGGCCGGCCAGCTTCCTGTAGATCAGACGCTGGGTAAAAAATTCGCCCCCGTCAAAATAGTTTTTGCCCTTCAAGGCCATCCATTCAGATCCGGGGCCTGCCACCCAGCCCTCGACGCCTTGTTCTATGACCGAGGCCACCCACTCCTGGCGATCCTCGGACTTCCATCCCTCCGCAACGAAGGAAGCGATGCCGTCTTCCCTGGCCTTGGCCACGGCCTCAGCCTTGGCCTTCTCGGCTTCCTCGGCTGCTTGCTTTGCGGCCTCGGCAGCAGCTCTCTCCGCTTCAGCCCTCCCCTCGGCACGGGCCTCCACCTTAGCGGCCTCCACCTTATTCCCAGCCTGCCTCAGGGCCTCCTCTAGCTCAGCCATCTTCCTAATGGCCTCGGTATTCTTTGCAACGAGCCTTTTAAGGGCCTCGTCGTCTTCCGCCTTCCGGAGGCGAATTTGATCCATCCGCCGGACATACTCTCCAAAGGCCAGGCTAGCCTGTGAACAAAAAACAAGGGGGGAGGCTCAAGGTCAAACTATGCGAACAAGAGATATGTGAAAGTAAAGTAAAGGCTTAGCAATGGGAAGGGACTTACGGTGACCGAGGCCTCAAGTGCCCTTCGTTCGAGGGCATCATCCTCAAACTTGCCGAGGGTCGAGCGGTCTAACGGGGGAGTGGCACCCTCCAGATATTCCCTCGGGTCGAGGGTTCCATGGACGATGGCAGTCCCCTTCTTAAAAGAGAACTGCACCGTCTCCTGCGGCCAAGCCCCCTCCTCAAGATCCACCATATGAGAGGGGGAGGGCTCTTCAAGGTTCACCAGGGGGGCACCCTTACCTTCATCAGCCCCCCTCAACTTCTTGGTCACCGGAGGCTTGGAGCCCTTCCCGGCATTCTTCCTCTTAAGCTCCCCAGCTTGGGAGCCCCCGGCAACAGCACCGGAATCAGCAGCAGGGACCTCCTTAGTGGACTCCTTATCCTCCGGAGTCTTGGAAGCCCCAGCCTTCTTCAAAACTTCATCGACGAGGGGTTGATTCGCCGAGGGCCCCTCCTCCTTCTTCTTCTTCGGGACCTTCGACAGCTTTTTTGATAGTCGCGCGAAGGCCTGCACATCCATGATATCACCTGCAAAAGACAAAGAAGGGTTAGGATCAGGGCTGATCAAGGAAAAATATTCTAAGTACCAATAACAGGGGCCCCCGGTTACAACCTCCGGCGTTTTGGTATCCGCGGTCGATCAGGGGATACTTCTCGTCCTTGTCCTCCGGAAGGCGATAACGACGGAAGCCCAACAAGTATAGCTCCTCAGGCGACGCCGCCGCCTTAATAGCAATCACTTTATCTGAACCCTTCGGCTTCTCAATGAGCCTCCTCCCGGCCTTGTCGAGGGCTGCACTTCCTACCTTCGGGTGCCTCTTGAAATGATTGTTAAGAGCCCCCGGGAATGGATTCTCAGCCACCCGAATGTAGCAGAATTTCTCTTTCCATTCCTTATGAGACGAGGGGGTCTCGGAGAAGAGCTTCCAGGCCGGCACCTGCTGCAAGTTGGCATACCCCCCGGCGTGAGAGTGTCCTCCCCGGCACAGGTTGAAGGAAAGAAAGAACTGGTCCAGTGAAGCGGCTATCCCCCGGCTTCGGCAGAGTGCCAGGAACCCCGCCAGGTAGTAATGACTATTGGGTGTGAGCTGGCAGGGGGCCAGTTTCACGTGCTTCAAATATGCTACTACGAACGGGTGGAGCGGGAACCTGAGCCCTAACTCCACCGAGAGCATGTGCACCGAAAAACATCCCTCGGGAGGGTGGGATAACAGGTCATTAGGCCCCGGCTCCACTACTTGTGCCGACGGCCCCACAAGGACTTGGAGGGCTAGACATTCGGCCCCCGACGCTGTGGTCCTCACCTCAAGGGCCGTTGTGTCCAAATACGAATGCCCCTCAGGGATCCCGACTGGCTGCCCAGCGTCCACGGCCGCTTGCTTCTTCTTTGGAGCGGCCCTCAGCTTCTTCTTCTTCTTGGCGGGGGCAACACTCAGAGGCTCCGGATCTAAGGGCCGGGAGCTACTTGCCTCACCGGCTCCGCGTGGGGGGGGCACAGCTACAGTGACCCTTTGCCTCTCCCTCTCTTCAGCCTCCTGAGCAACGTGGACGGCGAGGGCCATCTCTTCATCCTCAATCACCTGCTCGAAGTCTTCGGCCTCCATCTCCGTCCGGAGGTTACTCTGAATCTCCTCGGCTACGGCGAAGTCGTTGGCCAGCGACGCCCGATCACTGGAAGAGGCCACGTCAGATATGCTCTCTGATTGCGCCGAAGGTTCCCTTGATATATTTTGAGAATCGCTTGCGGAAGACATAGTTGGAAGTAGAGGAAGGGTCCTAAACCGAGGGCTACTAATAAACACTTAATCTACGATTACAAAGCAAAATATACTAAGGCCACGAAGAACAAAAGAAGAACTGACCTCAGAAAGATTAGTCTGATCGAGGGCGGGAGTTTATCTCTCTAGAAAAATTGGCAGAGCTTCGCTATAGCTTAAGGAACGCACAAAACAAATGGCTCTGGCCTTGGGTATTTATAGGCTTCTGGGCCTCGATGTATGGGCCTCCGTTTGAAAAGCCATCATTACATGCCGCCGATTTGACCAATAGGCGCCATCCGCCCACTCTCAGCCACCAAAAACTTGACACGTGGAACCTCTCTCCAACGGCTCTATTCCAACGGCTCTATTTTAAAAACTTGAGGCGAGCTCATCTTTGCAGCCTCCGGCTAACACTCCCACAGCCTTCAGCCAATGCATTCCAACATAGCGCCTTCAAGCCTGCGGCAGCATAAGCACCTAGCTTATCAATAATATCAAACCCCTCGGGTTTGCATCAACACATCATAACTCCTTCAGCCCGAACTAACCTTCGGCCCAAAGGAGTGGGGGACTGGGATACACCCCTCGGGAATCATACAAAAACAAAAATTCCCTCATACAAAGATTTACAATTGACGCATGTAGCCTCCGGGCATCAGAGCAGAAACCCCCCGGGTACATGCTCCAATATACCCTTCGGCAGAGGCAGGATATCACAAGTTTTCCCCAAGTCACTTGCGGAAATGAAGCAGCCCTCACCACAACACACGCGGGAAATACATCTATGCTTCCCTCAGAGAACCCTCGGCATGTGAGGGACTGAGGGGAGCCCCCGGCAAACATACGAAGGTCATGAATACCTTCCTTCAGAAAACCCTCGACCTGTGAGGGACTGAGGGAAGCCTTCGGCAAGCAGCAAAAAACAAGTTCTCCAGCAAAGGCACCCAGCGAAATGATGAAGCCTCCAGAAGAATCAACACATCTACTCCTTTTCCCTCAAGTACCTTTCGGCAAAAGGAGTGAGGGACTCCTGATGGAGTATATGCCCCAGGAACCCCCGGCCCATAGACTCCTACTTCTCCTACACAAGTCCATTGAGCCCAGAGAACAACTCAGGCCCAAGTATAACGGCCCAAACCTCGAAATAGCTCAGAATACACACTGGGATGCCTTCGGCCTCCTTGGCCGAAGGCTCCAGGACTCACAGGATAGCCTTTTCGGGCATAAGAAGCTGCTGGGAGAAAACGGGCGAAAACATGAGCCTTCGGCATTTTCATGCCCTCGGCGTCAGAAGAGCCTTCGGCTGAACCGGGCCTTCGGTCACACGGGGCCTTCGGCCATACAAGGGTCCTCACCACACGGAGCCCTCGGCTACACCGGGAGCCTTCGGCTGAACTAGCTCAATCATCTAAGATTCCTTTTAGAGACAGCCAACCACCGCATTGAATACCACGTCACATCCGCCAACCGCATTCAATGCGGTGGACGTACCACTGCCGGTGCCAACCGGCTGATGTGACCCATCGGCCGTTGGATTACTGACACGTGTCCTCTCATCGCATTTATTGCTGCTATAAATAGCAGCCCTTATTCTCCTTGTAAACGACGCTGAGTTCATTTAATAAATCGACTCTCTCTCCTCCTATTTTGCTCTGACTTCTCTCTAGTTATTCCTGCAATAACCCCTCGGATAAGATACCCCCCGGGTAGACTATCCATCAAGTACCTTACAAATATAGAGGGTAGGGATTAAAAGAGAGGCATCAAGATTTTGTGTCCAAAAAAAACCCACTCCTTGTGTGCCTAAGTGGCAAAGGAGCTGGATCCCCGACCAAGGGTTGGTTTGCAACTGCTTCTAAAAAAACACTTCTCAGCTTTTGGCTTTAAAAAAGCACTTATTTTCCCAAACACTACAACTTTTATTTTTCTCGGCTTCCGCGTCAAAAGTGCTTTTACTTTTTCTATTACACAAAAAGCACTTATTTTACCAAACACTACCCACTTTTACTTTTCAAAATCACTTTTTTCTCAAACACTATAAACTTTTATTTAATCACTTCTCCCCATTTCATTAAAAAAAGCACTTTTTTAAAAGCAGAAGCTGTTGCAAACAGACCCCAAGTATCACCGAACTCCATTCAGCGGAACTACTTACCGGTCATCGGTTTGACACTGATCCAGTATCACCTAACTCCATTTCCCCGTCAATCGGAATCTCTTTTCCGACATAACCATCCATGGCTGTAAATATTCTCCGCACTTCTCTGTCACCTAACGCTAAGCTTATTCCGAATTTCCACTGCTATAATGTAAGGACTTCCCTGTTAAATCCTATCAGCCTTAAACGAAGCCGCAGCTACCCTCGTTTGCCCCGTAATGGCGTCTTCGCCAAGGCAATCGAGCTCGATCTCGGCCCTACGAAGCAGGGGAAGCGGGAAGATTTGACCTTGCTTCTTGACGTCACCGGGATGATGTGTGGCGCGTGCGTCTCACGAGTCAAATCGATCCTTTCCGCCGACGACAGAGTCGAGTCCGCCGTAGTTAACATGCTGACCGAGACGGCAGCGGTGAAGCTGAAACCGGCTGCTGGTATTGCTTCCGTGGCGGAGGGATACGCCGCTGAGGAGCTAGCTAAGAGGCTGACGGAATGCGGTTTCCCGTCGAAGAAGAGAGCGTCCAGGCTTGGGATTGAAGTTAAGGTGAAGAATTGGAAGGAGATGGTGGCGAAGAAGGAAGCTTTGCTGCTGGAGAGTCGGAATCGGGTGGCTTTTGCCTGGACGCTGGTGGCTCTGTGTTGTGGAACTCACGGGTCCCATATACTGCACTCTCTCGGCTTCCATGTCGACCATGGTAACGCATTTTACTCTTTGCTTTGCTTCGGCTACCTTACAAATCAAAGAACACATTATTTTACTTTCGCCATCAATTAATTGTTAAATGTCTTTTTTAGGACCTTTCATGGAACTACTGCACAATTCGTATCTGAAAGGTACATTGGCTTTAGGTGCCCTGTTGGGGCCGGGAAGAGGTCAGTAATACCTTTCAAGGTTTCGATTTTATTCCTTTCTGTCTTATACTCTTAATTTCTTACACTGCAAGTATACACCCTTCCTATACTTTATATGCCAAGCTAATTTTGAATTTATCAGCTGGACCCCTTTAGAGTTAAAATTCTTAAAAGAGAGTGAGCATTATCTCTGAGGGTGAAATGTGTGGTTTAAATATTGAAACGTTTTAAAGTTTGTTATTATGTATTGTGCTATTCACCAAGAAATATAATCCTGATATGTAATTTTTATTTAAAAAAGTCTAGAAATATTTAATTGTTGATTCCCCTGTAATATAGTCTCAACTCTCAAATAATAAAATATATGGAGTATATATCTAAGTTATACTCTTATTGAGGCTCTTACTGAATAGTATGGGTTGTGTTATGTTTTTTTACTGTAGTATCATAGTTTATTACAGAAAGTTTGTTTCTTTTTTTAAAAAGGGTTTTGTCCCATTTGTATGTCTACCATCAGACCCTTGGTGCTTACTCTTAACCATTCATGGATCTAAACTTCACAAAAGTAATGCTGTCTGCCCATTCCATTATGTTGGGAAAGAATCGGAGTGATAAATATTATGTGTAACACTCCACAGCCACATTTAAACTAATTAACTAGTTGCATCCTGCATTTTTATACAAACATGTTAGGCGATCCTCCATAAAGATGATGATGCATCTATTTCCCGTGTTGCCATGTTGGTTTTATATGCAAAGTTATGCCGTTGACTAGTGTTAATATTTACAAACTGAAGTTGGCAAATGGACTGGAGAAGTTGTTTACTGAAGTAGCTAACACAAATTGAAATGAAGTAGTTTTCAATTTTCTGTATGTATGTGCGTACTTAAAAGTAGATAGTCCATTAAGATTACATCCAAGATTTACCTATAAGACTCTATGTGGGTGGTTTTATGAAATTAGGGTTACGGAAATAGATAAAAAGGGGAAAACACCCTTACAATCATTACATGGAGTACATAACATGGATATGATAATCATAAGGAAATTTCTTTTATCACCATACCTTGCAAAGGTGCCCATGATGAAAAGAAATGACTTGTTTAGGTATCTTATCATTTGAGCTGAAGCGTTCTGCGTGGTATATCAAAACACTATTGTTTTAGTCTTATAGCCACAATGATGTCATTAAGGGCAGACATACAAGATCTCGTCCAAGGACGAGAACGAGAGACGGGCAGGGAACAAGAACTTGGAGAATTCTGTAATTTGGAATCTATGATGAACGTATTAATTCGAAGAATTAAAAGAAAGGGCTCAGTGGAATTAATCTGATCTTGGAAATATTCCAGAGATCCAAGAATTAATTCTCCCAAAGCTGTTTATTGAATAATACTAATGACCCTTATATAGCTATTACAAGAGTCCTAATTCTAAAAGGAAATAAATGCTAATTAAGAAGTTGCTTAAAGCGTAATAGAAATAATTATTGAAAAGAGATAAATGCTAATTAGGAAACTGCTGAATAGGAAGCTAGAAATAATTAGAGAAAGAGATAAATGCTAATTAGGAAGGTGCTGATTAGGAAGCTTCCTAAAACTGCCAGAACACAGATTTCTTTCTCAGCCACTTTGGATTCCAGAATCACCCTTCCTGATCATCCGATTTCTACGTTCATATTTCCGATCATAGAATTGGTCTGTAACAGATGTCTATGGAATTCATACCATCATCTAGTAGCTATATATATCAACCAGAAATCATTCTGTATTTGACTATAGGACTTGCTGACTCTGAATTTGCAACTGTAATTGTTTGATTGACTGTATCAGAAAAACAGTATTTATATCATTGTATACGATTTCATGTCAAGTGACTTACCAAAGTGTTTTTTATCCCAGACCTGCTTTCTGATGGTGTACGAGCCTTCATGAAGGGATCACCAAATATGAACTCTCTAGTTGGCTTTGGATCACTTGCTGCATTTAGTATAAGTGCTGTATGACTTGTTTGAAGCTGGGCATCATTTTGTTTGTTGTATTGTTTCAGTTTTCTTTGTAGTAGTTTAGCACTACTTTAGCTGTTAATAAACAGTCAGCTTATAAAATTTACTGTTATATTTATCCGTCTTAGGCCTCAAACATTGAAAATTGAAAACTTTTACCTCTTCGCAGGTATCACTTCTTAATCCTGCTCTTCAATGGAATGCATCGTTTTTTGATGAACCGGTTTGTTCTTGCCTCCCCCCACCCCTGTAGTGGATACATAATTGAGCAAGAAATACCTGTATTTAGATGTTTGGAAAAACTAACAACTTCACTATTTTATAATCTATGAGATTTCTCACTGAAAGCAGTTGATTTTAGCATGCAGGTCATGCTTCTTGGATTTGTTCTGTTGGGGCGTTCTTTGGAGGAAAGAGCGAGGCTCAAAGCATCTAGTGACATGAATGAGTTACTGGTAGGTTGTCTGTAAAACTATATCAGCGCTCCCGGCTCCTCTAACTTTTCTTCCAACCACAACTGGTAGTTGTTTCTATCTGTTGGAGACTTGAAGCCTCTGTCAAATGTCAATAAACATAATTTGAAGGCTAAATAGCAGAACTGTTCCGACCATGCTGCTTACTGGCTTGTAATTATCAGTGTTTAAATACCACAGAGAGAGAGAGAGAGGTAGGGATGGGAAGAGAAATGGAGAGATTCCCTCTATCTCCTAACATGAATAGTAAAAGTAAAACATGGTAGTTGGACCACCAGGCTGGATTCAGCCTCCAGCGAACTACTTCAATAAAAAAATTGACAGGCCATGTAGAGCCACTATGCAGTATCTCTTAGCTCAGGTGAATTTACATTTTTGTGCCCATAAGTTGTATTATAAACTGTATAATGCTCTCTCAGTTCCAAAAATAATGTCCCATTTTCTATTTTACTATGTCTTGATGTCCCATTTTTATTGTCTTGCTTCCTAAAATGGTTAAAATTGAGCGGAACATAATAAAGATGATTGTTATTAACTACTAGGCATTATTAAATGGGTGAGATGAAATAAAGGTCCTTTTTCTTATGATTTGGGCTAAAATGGCATAGAAATCTTTGGGACTCATTGACTCAGAGAGAAGTTGTTATCATACAGTTATTGCACTTTGATCGGGTTAAACTTGCAAGTATACAAGTGCCGGTGTAGTAATAAAGTACCGGTAAAATATTATGGTAAATGTTCCCCGACATTTACCCCGCCAATGGGTGGTTTCCTCACCGGGTAAAAAAAAGAAAAATATAAAATACCGGTAAGTACCGGGTTGATCCACATGGAAATGATTGATATTATAAAGTTCGGGATTCGAATATAAGTATAGAAATGATATAAACTTGGAGGAATTTGTTCTTTGATATTGGTTATAACGAGAATAAGGATGTCTAAGGTAATCAGGACTCACTTAAATGCTTTTATAGGGTTTAATACTAGTTCTTTGCCAATAATTATGAATATGATGTTGCTAATATATTCCCGACTCCGGTTAAGAAAGTGAAAACGTGCTTTTCGTTACGTGTAAGTCCCGTTACACCTTACATTCATCAACCGAAAACGTATTGAATATCGAGACATTTCACACGTATCATACATAACCGGATATATTTCTATTCTCAGTACTTTATATGTTTATCTTTATCTTATCCTTTTTATCTTTTTTTTCTTTTTGACTCCAATATCATGTATCAATTCATTTTAGCCGATCCCAAAATCTTTTGGGACTAAGGCTTGGATGTTGTTGTATTTCGTTCTTTAATGTTGCAGTTAATTAAAATAATTGAGTTTTAATAATGTGGAACACAGTCGACTTTCAGTTTCAAAGTATAATAATTGAGTTCTTTAATGTTTGACATACTCAGTATGCACTACTCAAAAGAAGTAGCCTTGAGTTTGACTTATTGTGTGAAAGTAGAGTTATAGACAACAATAATAGATCTTAGATCATCTTTGTACTTAGAGAACATTACTACAGTATTTAACTTAAAAAGGGAGCAGTTGAAGGCATCTTTACTCCACATTTCTTCAAATAGCCTATATCATCAATGATCATTCATCTTAAAAATTATATGTAACTGGGTCTGTTTTTTTCATATTAATCCCTTGAAAAGTTAATAAAAATAGGGGCTTAGACTCTCTACATTTGGAGAGTCGAATCTTACTGTTTATTTTTATTCTTTACTTTGAAGAGGCCTTTGGAGACAAAAATGATTTTATTGGGTAGAGTTTCCAACTTGAATATCATCAGTTGGTACTTCATTTATTGGGTGGAGCCTTAAAATATCAACTTTATAGTCATATAATAGAAATTTCATTGTTATACTCAGAATAACATTGGGTTTCGATTGACACCCTAATCTATCAAACTTTGGTTCAGAAGTTTTTTTTTTATTTATAAAATGTCTACGTTTTGTATCTCTCTCAGTCTCTCTCTGATAAAGTGTTGTTGGAATCTTTTTGCAGTCGCTTATATCCACTAAATCAAGACTTGTGGTTACTCCTTGTGGAAGTGGTTCCTCAAGCAATGTGGTCAGCTCTGATGCAATATACATTGAAGTACCAACTGATGATATTCGAGTTGGAGACTCATTGCTGGTTTTGCCGGGTGAAACAATACCCGTAGATGTAAGTCTCTAGTTCTCCACTGAAGTAGTACTTCTGATTTCTGAAGTTACAGATAGCCACCTAAATCTCAAAACCTCATAAGATCATGAGATGCTCTATTGTTATATCTTCATTTGCCAGTTAGCTATACCTTACCAACCAAGCGTAGGACAACTCTATATCTGCAAAGTGCAGTTGCAGACTTGCATTCTTTCATATATAAGCATTTTCTGATTTCTTTAAATGAGTATGAAATTAACCATAGAAACATGTTGATTTTGCAATGGAAGTCAGACTATGGAGTTAAAAAAGTTGAATTAAATTCTAGATGATAGTCCGTAGCCATATGTATTAAAATCTGTGCTATTGAAGGTGCTAGGTGGGCATAGAGGAGCCTAGGCGCAGCCTTACAGATATATTTTTTGTTTTGATTTTGTGTATGGTTTCTTCAAATGAGATTAAAAAATGAAGAGCTGTGAGTCAAAAGAGCTACAAGTAGCAAAGATTCAATAAAACATGAATGTAAAATCAAACACCCCATGTTTTATACAAATACATGTCTATTAATTTTAACTTATCATTGTGCAAGATAAAATATTGTATGCATAAAAAGACATCATTTTGCCAAGCAAAAAAATGGGGGAAAAATCAATAGAAGCCTGTTCTGTCACAGACTACCTAGGCCGGCTGCACAGGCGGACAGAAGACTTATTATTAGCCTCATCATCATCATCATTACCCCAGTGCCGCAAAGGCTCCCACCTACGGTGGGGTAAGGGGGGGTCGGATGTACGCAGCCTTACCCCTGTACTAAAGCACAAAGAGACTGTTTCCGGATGACCCAAGGTGAAAATCGCGTCGAAAGTGGATAAGAATTAAGATGGGTGTAAACCTGCATAAAGTGGATAAGAATGGACCATCGAAGAGTTGGTAAATAGAACGTATGGAAAAAAGCGCTGGTCGGACACGGTCATATATAAGCATTTTCTGATTTCTTTAAATGAGTATGAAATTAACCATAGAAACATGTTGATTTTGCAATGGAAGTCAGACTATGGAGTTAAAAAAGTTGAATTAAATTCTAGATGATAGTCCGTAGCCATATGTATTAAAATCTGTGCTATTGAAGGTGCTAGGTGGGCATAGAGGAGCCTAGGCGCAGCCTTACAGCCCTGTGTAGCAGGGGATGGACTGACTGCTGCTTCATAACAAAGAAGCGCAGACAGTTTAGTGAGCCATTTTGCTTTATTCCATCATATTCTCTAGCCAAAGAATAGTGAATTTTTGGTTCCATTGCCAATGATGGAAAAGAAGACTTATTAGCCTATTAGAGAAAAATTAGGAACAGCTAAGCACCACCCACTCCTTTTAGAAATCTGATTTAAATCATTCCCGACATAAAAGAAGTGAGCTTTTGTTCAACCGCAGAAGATGCAAGTGAATAGATCTGCAACCCTACTAATGACTGTATTGTGCAAAGTACTTTATGTTTTCTGAATTTCACCATTTCTCATTCTTTTAAGTTGATATGCTTAATTGCCAGGTCATATTATGCAGGGTTATGTTGTTGCAGGTAGGAGTGTTGTGGATGAATCTATGCTTACTGGGGAATCCCTTCCGGTATTTAAAGAGAAAGGCTTGTCTGTATCAGCAGGAACAATAAATTGGGTATGTGTGTATGATATTCATTTTAGGGTTAAGAGTTATATGTAAGAAGATTATTGTTCCTCATAATATTCACACAATGAATTCAGATAACTCCTTTACACAGTACATTTGATCAAATCATTGATATTCGTTATACATAAAACAACAACATCCAAGCCTTAGTCCCAAAAGAGTTTGGGGTCGGCTAACATGAATTGACGTGTGAAATAAGAGTTAAAGAAGATTAAAAGAGATAAATCCTTCACACGTCTTGTCCCTCTCCTCCCTGCCTCTTCTCCCGACCTCTCAATTAGACTAACATGTGCATCACTCGGTCTCTTACACATGGCTAAACCACCGCAATCGAGACTCTTGTATCTTGTTTACAGTAGGTACTACTCCCACCTTTTGCCTGATTATCTCAATCTTAGGGTCATTTCTAGTATGTCCATACATCCAGCGCAATTGTTAAGATTAAACTCACGCAACACGAAGAACAATAAGAAGAATACACAAAATTTGGTAACCCAGTTCGCCACGAATGACTACGTCTGGGGGCGCTACCAAGCCAGGATATTGCTATTAATTTTGGATCAATGATTACAATGAGAGAGCTTGTATTTATAGAGAGTAAAACCTAACCCCAGGCTTAAAAGGACGCGCGGCCCATATCAATAAAGACCCAAAATGTGAAAACCTAACCCAAAATGTGGATCGACGGAATGGGCTTGGTTATACAGTCTCTAACACCTTACAACAACATGTGAATCTCAGCCACACCGATCTTTGTAATGTGACATTGTTTCACCGCTCAACACTTTTTGTTAGATAAAACTTACCCTTCAGTCTAGTCGGCATACCTCGATCACATAAAAATCCTAAGTCCTAACGCACTCTTCCATTTCATCCACCCTGATATAATCCTTATGTATACAGGCTAGTCCTGACGCACTGTGAGTAATTGATTGGTCTAATTGTGGTGAAATCCTAACCACATATTTTAAATCTCATTGTGGTGAAATTGTGAGTAATGTGTTTTTATTTTCTTAGTATTTGTGTGATCTAATTGTTATATCATTATCGTGTATCAGGATAGTCCAATAAAAATTGAGGCCACATCCACTGGTTCCAACTCAACTATATCCAAGATTGTTAACATGGTACTTGGATCGATAGTGAATATATTTGAGGCAAATGCAGGGTGGGGGGACTATTCAGTTAATGCTTTAATGGATTGGGTCACTGCATGGAACATACTAAATTATCCTTAAGAGGTTGCTCTAAATAGGACTAAAACATAGACAAAGTACGCAAATAGGACTCCTAATGTTTTGTTTCCAAAATAGGGCTTATTTGATCATATTAAAATAGAAGAAGTCCTATTTTAGGAAGAAAACAATGATAGTCTTATTTGTACACTTTGTCTATGTTTTAGTCCTATATAAGGAATTTTTTCATTATCCATCTCCTCGCTTTTCAGGTTGAGGATGCTCAAGGCCGGGAAGCACCGATCCAGAGGCTTGCAGATTCAATTGCCGGACCATTTGTGTATAGTGTAATGACTTTATCAGCAACGACATTTACTTTCTGGTACACCTTTTCTTTCTTTGCTAGCGTGTTAGACAAATTTGGTGTTGCCCTTTCCTATTAACTGCACAACTTTATGATCACAGTAATAACAGCAATAGTATTCACAAGCTTCATTTTTGGAGCCACTATTGTTCTGCTAAATGGATGAACTGATATTGTTATTACCTTCCTCTATCTTATAGCTGACCTTTTACAAATTTGCTATCCATTGGAATCCATCTATTAGAGTACTCATATAATACAGAGTTTATTTCGTCCTTACTTAAAATATTCTGGTGTTTAATTGGCGTGCAAGTAACATAGTTACATGGTTCTTAGTGTCGGCATATAACATACAGAAAAAGTTCAGTACTCCTGATTTTGTGGTTTTTGGTTGTTTGGGAATGATAATGGGTACACATGTATCTGTCTTGATGGACTGTGTCAACTAAGGTGTTGTAGTTGTGTGACTTGTGTCTGTTTCATATATGCTGCTTGCCATCATTATTAGGTACTATCTCGGTTCAAAAATCTTCCCAGATGTTTTGCTCAATGCCATTGCCGGACCAGATGGAGACCCTCTGCTTCTTAGCTTAAAGCTTGCTGTTGATGTCTTGGTATTCCATAATGCACTTAAACTACCATACTGGCATATTTAGATATAAATGTTCCTATATTGTGTCATATAATACCTGTATGGCTTAAATATGTTTTTAGTCCCTACAAATATGACACAATTTGTTTTAGATCATTGCAAAGTATTTTTCTTGTTTTTCATCCCTGCAAAATGCTCTATTTTGATTTTAGTCCATATCTAATTCTGAAACTACTCTACTTACAAAAAAAGTTATTGTCAGTTACATAAATCTACTAGAAATATTTAAATTTGTCCTTTTATAATTTTTTGAGGTTAATATGATAGTTAAAACAATAAAAAACTAAGTATTCACATTTTTAAAAATATATATGAAACGCCTTCTAAAAAATAAAATTACATACTTTTTGAATAACATGACAAAGGATTAGAGGAAATCTATTAGTCGGGGTTATTTTGAGGTGAAACGGAGGTTGTTATCATCAGTGATAGACTAAAACGAAAACCTACATAAATGGCAAGGATGAAAAACAAAAAAATAATTTTGCAGGGATGTAAAACAAAATGTACTATATTTGCAGGGACCAAAAACGTATTTAAACCTATCTGTATTGATTGACATCTTTAAAAACTAATAGTAATTTGTTAGATACATGAAATTATATATCAATGGTGTGACTTGGTGAGAATGCTCTCATGTTTTCAGGCATCCATGCTGATTTTTATGTGTTGAATACTGGGAGTTTTATTGGCATAACCTTTCAACATAACTACTTCAAACACTAATGCGATGCTTATACAGAAAATTATTGGACCTCATAACCGGCTAAACCTAGGGTTTCTTAACTTCAACACCCCCCTCAAGCTGAAGCGCCAACGCAAAATGTTCCATGGTTGATGCAAAACTTGAATATGAAGCTCAACAGTGAAAACTGAGACTTAAAATTTCACTTGGAACTTGACTTCACTGAGTTGAAACTTACTTGAGACAGACTGAAATCTTAAAACTGAGAACTTGAACTTTACCAAACTCCACTGAACTTCACTTCATTCTGTTTTACTTCAACTTTCTTATTTTTCATTTGGTTTCTTCTTGAGAAGATATGTCACTGGTTCTGGATGATGAGAAATGGAAAAGAAAGAAACTGATTCTGGTGACTGGTTAGCACCAACTTCCACAGGTTGTCCCGCCTTGAAGCGACAATTCAAATGGTTCAATGGTGCAGTGATAGATCAACTGAAGGAGATCAGACAAAAAGTTAGAGTTGACTGCCACTGTCGAAGGCGCATCGGCAGAGGTCATGGGTTGCATGGCGTAGCCTCCGACATGATTCCAAGTAGAATAAAATGGTTGATTTTATCAAACATTAATTGGATATCTGTCAAAATGAAGGTGCTGCTCTGCAAGCTTACTGTTCGTTGGTGATGGGGAGGCTTGGGTTACAGATGGTACTTCAGAATATTTTAGGAATATCCTTTGATATCATGTTGGATAATAAAACTTCAGTCAATATTAACTTTCAACTTGAAAATTTCTAAACACATACAAAGGGCTGATTCTGGGGCCTACTCACTCTCTAGTAACCTGTTGATAACTTACTAAATGGAGTCATTGCATTTCTGTTATCTAGTTCATGGGTTTGTTTGTAGTTTTTTTAGCTTGTAAACCTAATATAGGACCCAGATGACATCATATTTGTTTGGATGAATAGCAAAGTTGCATCGTTTTAATCCCAACAGCTCTGAAAAATCAAACCATCTAAATATTAGTTGGGGCCTCTAAAAAGGTTTCATTCACATGGTAAGACACTATATCTACACCTGATATGTCGGGGGTCCGAGTCACTATGGAAAATTTGGGTGCCCGCACTGCATGTCACTCTTGGCTGCTATTTAGGAAATGGCATATAACTGTAGTTGAAAGTTTGAGCCATGATTACATTGTCCAGACAAACATACTGGATTATTTGGATTTGGTATACACACTACAGACCATTTTGGAACAGAGATTATGATGCGGCCTTGCAGTTTGGATACTTTATGTAAAAGCGTAATCTTCATGTGGTGGCATGTACATGAGTAAAATTTTGGAGAAACATTCTCTCCTGCCTGGATTTGTTCTAGATTTACTTATAGTTTCAACTGAAAAACTGCATGCCTACTTGTTGAAGCTTCATGTCATTTTTAATGATCAGTTATATTATCCAAAACTGCATATATCTCTGCATTGGTTAACATTGATCCCTTTTGACAGGTTGTTTCATGCCCTTGTGCATTAGGTCTTGCAACACCAACGGCGATTCTAGTTGGCACTTCACTTGGTAAATCATCATGCCATAGTAATATGAACAACATTGAAAACCCTATCAAAATATTTCCTTGCTAGTTCAAGATGGTTATGAAATAGAAAGGGATAAAGTGAACAAACATAGATGTCATGCCTAATGGTGGCAGTAAGTGCCACCGTTTCCCCAAGGCTAATGGTTATCTGTGAAGGAATGATTCCACAACCGTCATCATAATAGGGCTTTCCACCTGCATGGAAAATATTATGAGATGATGGTGAGCTGCAATAGTTTTTATAGTGCTGACTGATTGCAAGGCTGACATTTTGGATGACTTGCACGTCATGGAACATGACGACATAGTAATGACTTATATAGTATGGATGTTTCTTGTTTTGGTGGGGGAGACTATTTGCAAGAAGTGACCAACATCCACCTCCTAACTTACCACCAATATTTGGTATTGGACCATTGAAGTTGGTATAATTTGATTTTGTCCCTAAGTTGTGCGTTTATAATCATTTTTGTCTCTTGCTCATTTTGTAAATACAGCCTTTTGTTGTGCCTCATTGCAGTTTTTTTAGTTACTGAATTTTTATTTTTAGTCCTTTACCTAATATCTTCTGGTTCTTTAAATTAATGATTCACTAGTGTCTCTTATCAATGTGTGTATAGTGTTACTCAGTTCATACTAGCTTAGAGATTTGATAAAAATGGATGGAAGATGTCGGTTAAAGGACTAAAAATGCAATAATATGATGTGTGGATTATCTTTTGTCTAAAATGAACGACGAAGGACCAATTGACAAATTGCCCACAGATTGGAGAGAAATGCAAAAAAAATTAGCAGACCTTTTTGCTATCACACAAGAAGAATTCCTTATTGCTAATGATGCTAACCATACCTCACTAGCCATATATGAGTGACTAGAATGATTAACATAGCATAGTAAGTAGTGAGATTTTATAGGTCTAGTACGATCAGACAGAAGCTGTACGTATTATGTACTCCATTCTGCTAAGCTTTGTCAACTTTCTTTAATTAGCTCTGAAAGCTTAGCCGCCTTCCCATTAAAGTAAAAGTTTTTGGATAATATTATTTCTCTTTCCTCTTCACCACAATCTTTACATTCTAATTCTACGTGTCACTCAAAGCTGGTCAAGTTTTAAGGGACAAAGGGAGTAACATATATTGCTGGTTGGAGGAATATCGTTGATTCAAATTCTACTGTGTTGCATGTCTAGATTTTTTAATATTGACTCTAATTCCATTTTAGTATCGACTCCAATTCTTGTTTGATATCAAACAAACATACTGCCTTTGTTCTCAAGTAATAGCAACATGTTGAATTTGATACTATTAACATGCTCCACTTTGACTAAATTTGATTTATTAATGTATGAAAAATAATATTTTGAAAATTATTTTTAAGTTCATCTCATTATAACTTTTCAGCATCTGGTTTTTATGTTTTTATACTAATAGGAAATTAAATATATTAATGGTCACTTTGCACTTAAGAATGGAGGAAGTATTACTTTTACTAAAAAACATCTGGATTACAAGCTATTTCTGGTTCCAATTTTTGAACTAAAACTCACTGAAGAAACTTTTGATATAAAGAATTAAAACATAGGAGAAACAATTATCTTATATGTCACTTTGCACTTTTCATTTTCTTTTATCCTTTTCCTTCATTCCACTACTAAAACGTCTTATCTCTTCAGTCTACATCATATATCTAGGGCATTTGTTTAATCTTGAATTGTAAAGCTTTTCAAATTAAACAGGAGCAAAAAAGGGTCTTCTTATTAGAGGAGGAGACGTACTGGAAAGATTGGCAGGCGTAGACTATGTTGCTTTGGATAAGGTAGCTAAAGCTTCCAGTCCATGTAAAATTTTCAATACTTGTCATAAGAATTTAAAATTTTAATGGAAAAGAATAGAAGGAACAATCACGAATGTCTTAGTAGTTGTTTTATGCTGTACTGCTTGACCTTCGCAAATAACTTGCAGACAGGAACCCTCACTGAAGGAAAACCTGCTGTGTCTGCTGTTGCATCTATGGGTTGTGAACAATTAGATATTCTTCGAACTGCTGCTGCTGTGGAGAAAACAGCATCACATCCTCTCGCCAAAGCTATTTTAGGCAAGGCAGAATCATTAAATTTGGATATCCCTGTTACACGAGGACAATTAGCAGAAGCAGGCTCAGGAACAATGGCTGAAGTAGATGGTCTTTTAGTTGCGGTTGGAAAGTTGGAATGGGTTAGTGAACGCTTTAGTAAAAAAACAAGCTTCTCTGATTTAAAGAGTCTTGAGCAGTCTCTGATGCATGAATCGCAAAGCAGTTCATCATCAAGCCATTCCATGACAGTTGTATATGTTGGTTGGGAGGGTGAAGGCATTGTAGGTGCTATTGCAATATCTGATAATTTACGTGATGATGCTAAGTCTACAATTGAGAGGTATGAGGCCCTTCCTTTATTGACATTAATAGGCATAATAAATACTGTTCTGAAATTAAAATGTTGAGAAATATAGTAAATAGGAAGTGGTTATTATGCATTTCTTTAGACCATGCAGTCACTTGAAAGATGTTTTTTATTAGTTTTTCCAGTGTAATTTCGTTTAAAACTTTACTATGCATTATCTTATGATTTTCCCTTTCTGAGATTTTTATTTGATTATTACCAATTGAAGGCTTCAACAGAAAGGAATTAGAACCTTTCTCTTATCAGGGGACAGGGAAGAGGCAGTTGCAACAGTAGCAAATACAGTTGGGATACAAGATGAATTTGTTTATGCATCCCTGACTCCACAGCAAAAATCTGCTACCATCACAACTCTTCAAGCTTCAGGCCATCGTCTAGCCATGGTATTTGGTCTTATATTTAAATGATTCTCTCTCTAAAATATATGAATACTCTTGTTCAAGACTTGTGAAGTTATGGACATGCGTGTGTGTTCACTCTGTTTGACATGAAATTTCATAAAACATAACAGTTTTGGAAACATTCAGGATCCACAAGCCATATATTTTTAATCAATTTGTGGAACTAGGCCCAGTAAAAGGAATAAGGCCCCGTTCGGTAGCATTAATTGGCTTACTTTGCTCAATACACAAAATAAGTAGCCTCTGACTTCTTTATTTGTCTGAAAGCCTAAAACAGGTTTAACTACCTGCTTTTCCTTCTAGAAAGTTCAGTAGATTCAGTCACATTTTAGCCACTTCAGCCAAATAAGCATTACCAGGGCTCTAAGTTTACATCTAATCTTTTTCTTGCTTTTTTATTGGAGGTTGGTGATGGCATTAATGATGCACCATCTCTTGCTCTGGCTGATGTTGGGATTGCTTTGCAAGTTGAAGGCCAAGAAAATGCAGCCTCAAATGCAGCGTCGATCATACTTCTTGGAAATAGACTTTTTCAGGTCTGGTTTTTCAACTCACAATGGTCATAGCCTACTCTGCTAATTTTTACCTAGTCATATTTTTTTTCATGACCCCTCGAATTTTGCTAGTCAGGATGTACAATCACTACTGCTGAAATGAAGTTTCCATATAAAAAGGAAATATACTTGTCATATTTTGTTTACTAGAATTCCTTTACGCAACTATCAAAATGCCAAAAGGTTTCATTTCTATATATATTGAGCTAATTAAAAGAAAGCTCCTTATATATCTCCCTATCTTCCCAATGACTAATGCTCTACTATACATATACAGCCTTTACACTTGCAAGATTCTTTTCCAAACACAAAATTTTGTTTGTGTGAACAAAAAAAAATGTTCTAGTGAAGGTTTTTTCCTCGCAAAGTGAATAAAAAATCTTGTGTGCGAAGGATACAATTGGTTGTACAAAAATGGCTGTACAAATACATTCTTTGCTTCCCGGTAGTGTTCTACTGGTTTTATGGTAGCATCTGTGTGTTGACTTTTTCATGCCCTAAACTCATGCCATTGCTATACTCCGCAAATGGGTCCATGGTATTCTTGGAAATCTAGAAAACTCACCTTGATTTATTGGTAGGTCGTTGAAGCATTTGACCTTGCGCGGGCTACCATGGCAAAAGTCCATCAAAACTTGACTTGGGCAATAGCATATAATTTGGTCACAATTCCCATAGCGGCTGGAGCACTACTACCCAAGTTTAATTTTGCCATGACACCATCTCTATCAGGCAAAACACTATTCTTTCTTTGAGTTACTAGTCATATAATATTCGTTAAATCCGGTATAGGGATGGGCATCTCAGGTTCGGTTTGTTTGGTTCTGTTTGAAAGGGGTTAGGGGAATGATTACCAAATTTTGGTTTGAATTTGTTACTTTTTAGAAAATACTTTATTGATTTTTTAATTTAGGTTTTATTTGATTTTTGTTTGGTTCAAACGGTTTGGAAAAAAATATTACCCAATCAAAACCGAATCGCATATGGTTTGGTTTCGGATTGGTTTGGTTCAGTTCGGCCAAAATGCCCACCCCTATTAAAGATTGTTTAACAATGACAGGTGAATCATGGTGATGTTGGGAAACCTCATTGATATAAACATAGAGTTATGGGTTTATTGGATGTTAACGGGCTATATCCTATGTTGAATAAAAGATATTGAATTATGGGTTTATTGGATTTTCCCAGGATAAGAGTAATTACTATCATGATTGGAAAATACGACCATATTGATTTGCTCATGTTTCGGGGACATTTTACCCATAATTTCGAATTTTACATTGTTTTTACTCCTTATACTGTGCCGTTAAAAGCGTCGTTATCTTCAAGAATTCATTTGAATGTCTTCCCGATTGAATTTTTAGCTGAAATTTGGTATGAGTAAACTAGACTTAATGAATAATATGCTCAAAAAAATTTATCACAAAATTCCACCGGGAGCCACCTCAAATGGCACGTCCGGACAGAATCTTCTATATAAGGACTTATTTGACGCTTTTTTTGCAACTTCAAGGACCAAACTGACCCTTTACTCTTTACTCCTATTTCACGAAATTTCTCATTACAAACTCTTGATTCTCGTTGAATTTATTTATGCATTTATTAAATTATACTCCGTATGTTAATAGGTGGATTGATGGCCTTGAGCTCAATAGTTGTTGTCACCAACTCCTTACTCCTGCAACTCCATGGTTCTCAAAAGGGAAAGCAACGATACTTTCAATGATAACATGTGCACTAGCTCAGAGCCCGATTACGCCTTCCACGAAGACCTAATAATAATGCTTTAGATGAATTGAGTTGTGGCAGCCCTATAATGAGGTTGGCATCCATAGACTTTATCTATTGCCTCTACGGCTCTACCTGTCTTTAATCCTGTAGCAACGATACGCATTTAACAGACGTGATTCCTGGTTTTGTTATTATAAGCGAATAAAGTCCGCATGTAATGATGAACCTAAAGTAGTAAGGACTGATACCGGAAAGTGGAAACAAGTATTTATATGTATAAATATAAAAGATTATAAAGACACTTCCTTGTGGTCGGCCTTTTGGACAGAGGTCACAAGTTTGTATCTCATCCCAATTCAAACAGATACTATGGGTGGACCGGTTCGGGCCCGGTTCGGGCCTGGGCCCGGTTCGGGCCTGGGCCCGGCCGGGCCTCGGTTCAGAAATGGGAGGCCCTGAACCGGCCCGGGTAATCCCGGGTCCGGGCCGGGCCGGGCCTCGGTTCTATTTTTTTTTTTTTGGCTTTTCCTAATTATCCCCCAACCCTCACCCCTCACCCCCAAACCACCTCAAATGGCCCAAAATACCAAGCCCAACCCAAAAACTTAAAAAAAAATCAAAAAATAAATAATTTGGCCCGAACCGGGCCCGAACCGGCCGGGCCGGTTCGCCAATCAAAGGGCCCGGGCCCGAACCGCACAGTAACTGGGCCGTGCCGACCCGAACCGCCCCCCGGACCGGTTCCCGGGCCGGGCCGGTTCAAACAGTAACCGGGCCGGGCCGGGCTGGTTCCGGGCCGCCCGGCCCGAGTCCATCCCTAACAGATACTATCATAGGTTAGAAAGATTTGCCCAAAAAAAGTTTATAAAAACTTGTTTGGAAATATATATATTTTGCAATTAGAATTAAACGCAAACTATTCTTGTAAATTTAAAACTGCATTCTAGAAATGGTTACATATTTATGTTTAATAAAAGTTGTTTATAAAAATGTAATGTCTTAAGTGTGGCTATTATAGTAATAACGGTAATTCTAGTCATTTATGTTCATTTTTCACATTTAAGTGACCATGATACGAGTAATATACTATAGTAACTTACTCACATTTTTATAAAAGAAATTTTAGTACTCTCTTAATATTTCAAAGATTGCTACATTAGCTTTGACACATAATGAGGATAGTAGATGTAATAAATAGAGTAGACAAAGTATGAGAGAAGATGTAAAAGTATGAAAGAAAAGATAAAAAGTAAAAAATAAGTAAACGTAGTTGAGTATCAAAAAAATGGGGATGTTTTTTACGTTAGGCCTTTCAGCTAATTTAAAAACATCCTCAATATCATACATTAGTACTAAATAATGAGGATGTTTTTACGATGAGTCTGATCTATCGGAATGACCTAAAATGGGACATTTTTTGGCAAAATACCCTCATAAAATGTGAAGTATCAACTTCACTAAAAACACTTGGAGTCTTGGACTATACCTTCTTCCATCTACATTTATATTTAATACTAGTTTTCATTACGCGCGTTGCGCGGTTGGTTAGTGCCCAATAATGCCAATATGAATTGTGCGAATACATCGTGTAAATATTTAGTTGATATGTATGTATATAATTTTGCTCTCAAACGAAAAGGTAAAAACCCAAGGAATTGTGGCAATTTGGTAAGAGAGTATGGTGTGCGCAATAATAATGAATAAAAACAATCTCTTATGGTGAATGGGACATCATAAGGGAACTTAATTTTTATTAACACCTATGGGGAGACCCTATCAAATCTAAATCAAAATATATGTGAATGCAACATTTAAATATGCAGAAACAGAAAAACATTTACAGAATTAGTTACATTTTATATCTAGAAACATGTCGAGGGAAAAAAAACCAAGTTCATAGACTACCGTGCTCACAAACATTGTATTAAGAGCTTGTGTGATGATATCAAAATCGGCTGAATCGATGGATTATGCTGAAATTTATGCAATTCTGGCTAAAATGACTGAATTGGTGATTTTGCTTATTTCAGGGGGAAATATGTACAATTGATTTTATTAATATAAAAAATTATATAAAATATAGCTAAAATGGGGTTTTACAGTAACTTTAGTCAATACAGTACGAAATCAATAGTTACGTATTTTGTGATAAAATGGATGGTAAACCCGATAAGCCAAAAAACTATGTGATCAAATGGCCTCTAAATGTGACAGACCGACACTATGTTACACCACTGGCTACTTTTAGTTTCTCCTATAAGAGATAAATATGCAGTGGAGCACCTTCCCGGCGAATAAAACACCAGGAAATTTGTTGAACCCAATAAGTAAGCATTTGAAGGGAATATAAGGGCAAAAAGATTGAAACCCTCTTTCAAGACTTTCGGTCAATTGCGTATAAGCGGAATATAACTCTACTCTGCACAACCCCCTTTGCAACACATAGATGCTGCTCAATACAACATATGAACCACAAACAATGAGCACAAAAATATCACGGTTGTTTGTAAACAAAAATCAAAAGTGAATCATCAAATTTACCATCTTAAACCTTAAAAATCGTATGGTATGAATAGATCGAGAGATCGAGAGAGAAGACTGAAGGGACATCATTTGTTTGAGTTGAATAGTTAAAGCTAGAAATGAAAGCGATCAATCCATATAAAGTAAGAGGTGCAAATAAATACTCTATTTAATGAAAGCATAATGGATATGGAATATAACGATTTGTAAAGCTGGTAGGGAAGGAACGGGAAGCCAGAAACGGGTGAAAACTTTAACGGAGATAGCTGGCTTCACAAGGTATCTAAATAATAGGTACAATGACATAAACATAGAGTACAATTGCATTATGCTTAAGTGTTACACCAACAAATTTTATATTCCCAAAAGGGTTCTAACCCTCATTCACATTTATAAGTTTTTAGATATTCATATATACTACGTATATTTGTGTGTGTATAATTAATATAAGTATAAACCTTTTAAATATAATTGTAGTTAGGGCTGGACTCGGGCCGGGCGGCCCGACCCGGGACCGAACCGGCCCGGTCACTGTTTGGCCCGGCCCGGCCCGTGGCCCGGTGGGTCCACCGGTTCGGTTTGGCCCGGCCCGGGTGCTGGGCGGTCCGGGCTCGGGCCCAGGTTTTGGTGAACCGGCCCGGCCGGTTCGGGCCCGGTCCGGGCCGGATTTTAATTTTTTTTTTTTTGAAATTTTTTTAAGTTTTAGGTTGGATTAGGTATTTTGGGCCATTTGAGGTGGTTTGGGATGGTTTGGGGTTGAGGGGGAGGGGTAGGGATTAAATAGGAGAACAAAAAAAAAAATTAATTGGGCCGGTTCGGCCCGGCCCGGTTTGGCCCGGAACCGGAACCGGCCACCGGCGGTTCGGGCTCGGGCCTCCCCTTTCCTGGCCCGAGGCCCGTCCGGGCCCAGGCCCGAACCGGGCCCGAACCGGCCCGAGTCCAGCCCTAATTGTAGTAGAGAGAATGGAGGTACAGGAAATTAATTAAAATTGAGTGGGTATTTATAGATTTTTGTTTAGACTCCCCTGCTTCCTCCTAAACTAGTCATTTGGAGTCGTTGGAGGAGAGCCTCCAACGGTGAGGAACCCCCCCCACCCCCACCCCCCACCCACTTATGGGATCAGATTGGGCCCGAGACCGACCGTAGGGGTGGACTCGGACTGGTTCGGGCCTGGGCCCGGCTGGGCCTCGGTTCATGAAAGGGGAGGCTCGGAACCGGCCCGGGTAACCCCCGGGTCCGGTTCGGGCCGGGTCGGGCCTCGGTCCAACTTAAATTTTTTTTTTTTGGCTTTTCCTAATTAACCCCCAACCCTCCCCCCTCACCCCAAACCACCTCAAATGGCCCAAAATACCCAGCCCAACCCAAAAACTTAAAAAAAATTCAAAAAAAAAAAGAAAAAAAAAAAATAGGCCCGTACCGGGCCCGAACCGGCCGGGCCGGTTCACCTTTTCAAGGGCCCGAGCCCCGCCCGGAACCCCAGCGGGTCGGGCCTACCCGGACTGGTCCCTGGCCGGGCCGGCGGTTCGGGCCGGTTCAAACAGTGACCGGGCCGGGCCAGTCTGGCCGGTCTTGATCCAAAAAATCACACTTGGGGATTGGCTGGGCCATTATCAGGATCGAAAAACCAGTCTAGAGCCGGTCCTCGACATGGCGGACCAGGTCGATGCACAGTGGTAAGCGACATGATTTCACCAACCATGACATTGGGTGATGACCGTATGAACTCTTCGATTGCAAACTGGACATGCCAACATTTGAAAGTGAGCAAAAGAGCTTTTTTCTAAATTAATGCTAAATAAAAAAATAATAACATAACTGATGTTGGGTTAATATTATTTCCCATTATACTGCTGCACAAACTCTAGTTAGGGGATGCACAACCTACGCATGAATGCTGACCAAAGGCGCATCACAAATAGGAGGAGAAGACTGTAGGACCCAATAAAATGAAAAGTCTCATTTTTCTTAAAAATGTTGTAACTTTTGAATTTTTACTCCAATTGTTATAAAAAATATATCATAATTCATAACTTTTTATTATCTTTCATATGACACCATTATTGTATATATAAAAATAAAAAATTATTTAACACTTTAAAAATATAATGTTTTTTAAAGTATTGCAACTTTTTAATTTGTACCCCAATTGTTTTAAAAATAAGGAGTGTATCAAAACTCAAAATCTTTTATTATCGTTCGACACTAATATTTATAGGTAAAAATAAAAATAATTATGCACTTTAAGAATTGTTTTTTTAGAGTGTCATACCCTTTTTTGATCTCCGAGAATCTAAAAATATATTTCAGGTATATCAAAACACATAACTTCTTATTATCTTTCATGTGTCACTAATATTTCTTATACAAAATAGAAAATAATTTAGCACTTTAAAAAATTTCAGTTTTTAAATTGCTATAATTCTTTTATATGTACTCTAACGGTTAGTTTGTTACAAATAATATACGGAGTATCAAAATTCATTACTTTTTATTACATTTCATATGATACTAATATTGTACGTAAGTTTAAAAATAAAATCTTTCTAATTCATTGGGCATGTTTGGCATTGGGCGAGAATGCTAAAAAGGATAAAATTGCCATTTTTGCTAAAACCTCACTATCTGAAGCCCCCATTGTACTTTCAGTTAAAAATGGCAATTTTTTTAAAGTTTATGAAGCTTCATCTGTTTAAAAAATCATTTAAAAATGCAATATTAGTTTCATATGCAATGCAATAAAGAAGTTATGTATGGGTGAGTACGGATCTAGAATTT